TGTTCCTCAGTGGAACTGGCTCCCTCAGGAGGTGGTGGGCTCTCCTTCTCTAGAGGTTTTCAAACCGAGGCTAGATGGCCATCTGACGGCAATGCTGATTATGTGAACTTAGGCAGATCATGAGAGGGAGTTCAGGAAGGGTTGCCTCAGTGCTTAGTTCTTGCGGCCCTTTCTTAACATGCCCAGGGAAATGCTGGTCGCCACTTTGGGGTCAGGAAGCCATTTTTCTCCATGCCAGTTTGGCCGGGGATCCTGGAGGGTTTTTTTTTTGTCATCTTCTGGGCATGGAGCGGGGGTCACTGGGGGTGTGGAGGGGGGAGGTATTTGTGAATTTCCTGCATTGAGCAGGGGGTTGGACTTAGATGATGCTGGAGGTCCCTTCCAACTCTATGATTCTAGTAAAAATATCTGAGGACGAGGAACTTTTGTGGGATTATTTGTAAGGTTTCCCGTACGAAAGCTTATACCTTGAATAAAACTTCGTTGGTCATGAAGGTGCCACTGGACTCAAACTTGGCTGTACAAATGATCTATATATATAATTCCCCCCCCCCCCTCAGGACTGCATGGAGGAAATCAACCAATTCAGTGAAAACAAGCTGGTCTCCCTGAAGCAAGTGGGTGACCAGCTGATCAAGGCCAGCAACAAGAGCCGGGTGGCTGAGATCGATGAGAAACTCAACAAAATCAACGATCACTGGCAGCACCTCTTCGATGTCATCGGAGGACGGTAAGGAAATGGGACAAAGCTGGAATTTGTCATTTGGTAGCCGACTGGAAACGGGACATCCTGCACAGATACACGTAGACGGCAAATGGCAAGATGCTCTTAGGGCTACTGCATTCATTATATTTTTAGGTGTACATCAGGTTCCCAGGCGGTGTAGCGGTTGAGTTTTGGGCTAAGAACTGGGAGACCGCATAGGGTTGCCAGCCTTCAGGGAGTAGCTGGAGATCTTCTGCGGTTACAACTGATCTCTAGGCCGCTCTGAGACTCCTTCGGGAAGTGAAGGGCGAGGTATAAATTCAATCTCTTCTTCTTCTCTACTCCCCAAACCCCGCCCTCCTCAGACTCCACCCTCCCAAATCTCCAGGCATTTCCCAACCTGGAGCTGCCAAACCCAGAGTCCTGGGGTTCAAGTTTCCATTGATCTGTGAACTCAGTGGCTTAACCTAGAGCTCAACACTCTCTTTCAGTATATTTTAAGCTACCCTGAACCACAAGGAAAAACAGGGTAAAAATGTTTTAATAATAAACCTACCCCACAGGATTGTGTGAGGGCAAAATGAATCAGAGAGGAAACGGCCATATATGCTTCTCTGACTTCTTTGGAGGAAAGGTGGGGATTTTAAAATGAATGAACCTTTTTAGTGTATTTGTTTATTGCAAGCATTTGTATCCCACTTTATATCCTTGGACTCAAGACAGCTAACAGTGCAGCAACAAGGTTGTGAGGTCACAGGTTAAAACAGGCGGGACCGGCAAAATGAAAACACTGATTAGAAGCCGTCCAGACTTAAAATTCACATGATAAACATAGAGGAGCAGAACAAACACAGCCAAATCTGCTAGAAGGATTCACCCTCTACCAAATGCTCTCTCTATATAATCATTCTCTGTTGGTGGTGGCATGCTGCTGAACATTCTACACGGCGCCCACAGCCTTTGGCTCCGTGATCTGTCACTCAGAAGCTGTCCCTATCCACTGGCTGCGTTGCCTGAGTCTCACCTCCAACATTCTAAACAGTTTGCTGTTCCTCTCCTCCCCATAGCCAGTCAGAACACAGAGGTTATTTGCATATGTGGCCTCATTGGCCTCTGCCTCGGAGCACAGAGGTCGTTTGCATATGTGGCCTCATTGGCCTTTGCCTCTAACATTCTAAACAGTTTGCTGTTGCTGTTCTGAGGTAAAATGTGTTCTGAGATACCCTTAGTGCCTGTTGGGAGAAACGAGTTGCCAATCTCCAGGTGAGGGCTGAAGATCACTTAGAATTACAACTGCTTTCCAGATGGCAGAGATCAGTTCCCCTGGAGAAAATGGTGGACTCTGTGTTCTTATATCCTGCTGAGATGGCCCCTGTATGACAGCCAATGTGACGCAGCAGTCAGGGATTCAGAGCACAGTAGAGGCTGCAGGTGAGGGGGTGGAAAGCTGAAGAGTGAGTGGGAAATAAAGGTAGGTTGATGATTAGCTGGGAAGGAGATAGGGTTGCTAACTCCAGGAGAGGGTGAGGTTTGAGGAGGGGTGGGACCTCAGACAGGTACAATGCTATAGACTCCACCCTCCAAACCAGCCATTCCCTCATGGGGAACCATTGTTGCCAATCTCCAGGTGGGGGCTGGAGATCACTCAGAATTACAACTGCTCTCCAGGAGAGAGGGGGGAGGAGATGGTAAGCTGAAGTCAGAGGGGCAGATAAAGGTAGGTTGATGGTTGGCTGGGAAGGAGATAGAATTGCCAACTCCAGGTTGGAAAATTCCTGGAGATTTGAGGAGTGGAACCTGGAGAGGGTGGGGTTTGAGGAGGGGTGGGACCTCAGACAGGTACAATGCCATAGACTCCACCCTCCAAACCAGCCATTCCCTCATGAGGAACCATTGTTACCAGTCTCCAGGTGAGGGCTGGAGATCACTCAAAATTACAACTGTTCTTCAGGTAGCAGAGATCAGTTCCTCTGGAGAAAATGGTGGACTCGGTGTCGTACCCTGCTGAGGTCACCACAGCAGATTGACACTGAGTGCCCAGAGCCTCTTTCTAGAGCTCGTTGTATTTATTTCCACAACGAGCCTTATTCCTAGTGAGCTATAAAGCTTGGTGTCATCAGCATATTGGTGACAACAACCCTCTCCAATAATTTTGTCCAGTTATCTTACATAGAGAGTTCAGCGTACTGGGGATAAAAGGGACTCTTCGATTACCCCACATATCAGGTCCCAACCCTCTGACTTTCTTATGGTAAATCTTTGTTTCCTGCCAACCAGGAAGGACCAAAACCAGCAGAAGGCTGTCCCTTTTTATCCTGAACACCGATGACAGTCAATCCACCAAAATATCTTTTTCTTCTGTCATTAGCGACGGTATTACAAAGGCCTCAATGGGTGATATAACATATAAGACCTTACTAAATGAGCAAAATGAACTTAAGCCCTGGGAAACCCTACAAGATATGCAGATAAATCTGTCAATATGGGAAAGAAATCAACTAATCTCGAGATTCACCAAAGACAAAAAACAAGGTTTCTACGTTAACGAAACACAACTAGATAAAATTTGGCTGCGAGAGGCAGACAAACAAATAGGCAAAATATATAATCTACTACTAGAAGAGGAGTTAAAAGATGCATGGGAAAAACCCGCAATGATTAAATGGGAAAAGGACTTGGGCCGTAAGATAAAGAGGGAAGAATGGGAAAAATCCTGGAATTCAATTAAACTAATAAGAGCAACACCGTACAAAGAAAATATACTAAAAATGATATATAGGTGGCATTGGACGCCAGATAGATTACAAAAATGCTATGTAAATGTCTCAGGGAATTGCTGGAGATGCAAGAATAATATCGGGACTTATTTCCACATCTGGTGGAGATGTCAGAATATACAAAGATTTTGGAAATGTACAAAACAATTGATAAAAGACATAACAGAAATCGATTTACCCTTTAGACCAGAAATCTTTTTGTTAAATATTATACCCAACGACATTAAGTATAACGAATCATGTATTATTGTATACTTAAACACAATGGCAAGAATCTGTATTGCTAGAAACTGGAAATCAGACACGATACCAAAAAGGGATGAATTAATAAATAAACTATTTGAGGTAATAGAAATGGATAAACTCAACATGTTTCTGGCTGGTAAACTAGAAGATAAATTTAACCAGAAATGGTATAAGGCCATAAAATGGTACGAGAAAAATATTTAATTTTTAACCCCAGTGTTAACAATGTACTGAAATAAGACCTGTATGTGTGTACTTTATGGAAAAATGAAAATAAACTATTTAAAAAAAAAAAATCCACCAAAATATCATGGTCGGGAGGAGGGGCTGTAACTCAGTGGCAGAGAACCTGCTTGGCATGAAGAAGGTAGCAGGTTCATAAGAACATAAGAGAAGTCAATGTTGGATCAGGCCAATGGCCCATCCAGTCCAACACAGTCACACAGTGGCCAAAAATACCAGGTGCCATCAGGAGGTCCAGCAGTAGGGCCAGGACACTAGAAGCCCTCCCACTGTTGCCCCCCTCCAAGCACCAAGAATACAGCATCCCTTGCCAAGAGTTCCTATCTGTACCTTGTGGCTAATAGCCACTGATGGACCTCTGCTCCAGATGTTTATCCAATTCCCTCTTGAAGGCGTCCATGCTTGTAGCTGCCACCACCTCCTGTGGCAGTGAATTCCATGTGTTAATCACTCTTTGGGTGAAGAAGTACTTCCTTTTATCCATTCTAACCCGACCGCTCAGCAATTTCATGGAGTGCCCACGAGTTCTTGTATTGTGAGAAAGGGAGAAAAGTACTTCTTTCTCTACCTGCTCTATCCCATGCATAATCTTGTTCAGGTTCAGTCTCCAGCTGAAAGGGCCAGGCAGTAGGTGATGTGAAAGACCTGAACCTGAGACCCTGGGGAGCTGCTACCAGTCTGAGCAAACAGTAGTGACCTTGATGGATTGATGGTCTGATTTGGTATGAGGCAGCTTCACGTAACTATGTCAAATGCCACAGATGGGTCTAAGAGTATCATTAGCGATGGACTGGCCTTGCCCGACTGTAAGAGAAGATCGTCAGCCAAGGCCACTAGTGCGTGCTATTCAAGGTATAAATTTGATAGATAAATAAATAAAGCCAGATTGAAGTGGATCTCAAGACCCCATAAACAGAAGATGTTTTGAATGTACACCTAAAAATGAAGGAGGAGGAGGAGGAGACTGGATTTATATCCAACCCTTCACTCGGAGTCTCAGAGCGGTTTACAATCTCCTTCCCTTCCTCTCCCCAGAACAGATACCCTGTGAGGTAAGTGGGGCTGAGAGAGCTTTGAGAGAACTGCTCTTGAGGGAACAGCTCTGAGAGAACTGTGAGTGGCCCAAGGCCACCCAGCTGGTTGCCTGAATGTGACAAATGTACTCTGGTGAGAGAGCCATTAATGGCCACAGCTTCCTCCTGAGCCAGTCTGCATCATGACGGAATGCTTGGTATAAATCCCAGTGATATGGGACATTTGGGGAAACCCTAGTGTTTGTGTATGGTCCAGGCTTGTACATGGTATATATTTGCCTTCCTGTGCTAACATTATTTAGCTATCACTAACATTGTTTAAATACTTAAGTTTGAATCAGGGGTTTTTTCCTGGATCTTTTTTTAATTCAAATTTTCCTGGGAAGCCCACATCACTGAAAAAATGCTTAAATTGTTTTAAGATTAAGAAATTTAAGACTGAAGGACAGAATAATTGTAATAACAAGAAATGGTGATGCTTGCATAAGCTATGTCTCACCCCAGTTTCTCACATGGGGATAATATTTTGGCCTGCCTCACTGGTTTGTTGTGCAGATTATTGGAACAACATGTGCAAAGCGCTTTGAGCATTTGGCTTGCGTGCTATGTGAATGCTAGGTTTTAAGAGTTGTATTACAGCAAATTCCAAAATTTGGTCAATGTGAACTATTACATGTGAATGCTACTGTCCTCAGTGAATTTTGTGAATGCCTGAAAACAGGTC